AAAAAATATGTGCTACTCCTGGTGACAGTTGCAGGTTGCTGCTGAGCAAGCCATCTAGTAATTAACAATTGATCCAGAGTATTGCATGAGAGGGTTTTGAATCTCAATGACTGAGCCTTCTAGAGACCGTTTCGTCCTGCATTGAGAATTCTCAGTGTTTCTCTTGCACCTCAATAACCCACCTATGCCATTCTAAAATATCCTATCTATGTAAGTGTGAAACATAAATTTGCTCTATTGTACACTGTCTAGTCCATGGGACCAACAGAACTTTGCTTAAGGGAGCAACTTGGTGATGTAGCTTGGCTATATAAATAAATAATGGTATTGTAGCAAGTAGGTAACAAAGGGAGAGCATAAGTGTTGTCAATGATGTAGAGAAACACAAAAATAGAGTAGGCTTCAATAGTGATGTTTTGCTTATAAGGGCCTTATCAGAGCTAAGATAGATGCATGGTTAGAGCATATACACTAACATGAAAGATGCATGGTAAGTGCATATACAAGGGTAAAACAGGCAAAGGACGAGGTCAGAATGAAAATAAATTCAAATTGGTACCCCTCTAGCTAAATTAATTCTTGAAAATATTAACTACAATAGTGTATAATATGACACCACCTGACTGACCTGACCAACTTTTCCCACCTTGCCCTATATATGCACTATCCGTGTGTGTTCCTGATGAATTTCATTTGATAAAGCCCTTACAGGCAAAAAATCTTTGTTTAGTCAACTTTCTTCTTGATATTTTTCTACATAGAAATTAAAACCAGTAGCAAATAATTATAAGATTCTATCTTAATCATTCATCAGTGATCTGTTGTCAGTTTGTGAAGTTGGAACAAATACTCTTCATCATAAGAAAAAAGTGACTCAGGCCTATAACACTCTTTGGAAAGTTTCATGTATGATTTCATTGCCACTTGTCAACATGATTCATTTGCAAATTTACTGCATCTTTCATCTTGCCATCTTTGATTTCACATCACTTCCATACTTCATGAAACAGTATACAGGTATTCCTAAAGCTTAACAACTCACTGGCTGAAACAACCTCCTGTGTATCTAACCACTTTGCCTTACATTATACCACACTAAATTGTCTTCATGAAACCCATTATTCACAATATGTTCTTCAAGGCCATTTAATCTAAACTGTCATACAAGGATAATACAAAACTTAATCAAGAACTGCATACTGGTTATATTTGATTGCTTTAGAAATATTTATATGGGGAACATGTCATTATTTAAGAGGAGCTGCATAAACAGCTTCCCACTACCGAGTCACATCAGTCAAAGGAGTCATGTTTGGCTAAAGTAGGTACAAGTTTTTACTTACCTTTATTGATGACTTTTGTTGGTGTATGGAAGACGGTGAGGAGGAGGGGATGACTTACTGTTTGGAAGGGGAGTCCTCTTCCATTATAACATCAGGCAGTGATGACTTTTCTGGGGTACACTCTCTGGCACGTTTTGCCTGCATACCACTAGGACCTTGTTGTGGCTCTCTGCTTGCTTTTCTCACTAAAAACCTGTTTAGCAACACTTGTTTTCCCTACATTGTAACACTTGTCTCAAGTGAGACATCATAGTCATTAAAAAGGTTAACACAATGGCCTTCTACAGCTTGATTTCGGTGACACTTTTCAGCAAAACTTTGCAATTCTTCTCATACCGCATACATTTTCTTAATAAATGAGGAAGAGACATCCTTTACTCTACATCAGCAACTCTCATACCATTTTTCATGTTTATGAGTGCTCTCTTGTTTTTTCCTCTATGGTCATTCTCACATGTGTTTTCTTGGCTTGAACCTTACCACTGGCTTTCTTGGGCCCTATGACGAGATATATAATAAAAAATATTTGTTCAAATAGCCAAAAATCTGAAAAAACTGTAATTCTTAATAAAGAATTAGGGAGCGATAGTCACTAGGCTGGAGGCACTGGTAAACTGAGGCGCGATCGCTGTGCCACCACGTGCTAGGTCGGCCCATACGTGTATCAACAAACTCGTTTCCCGAGGCAAAGTTCATAACACGATTCAAATTTTTCGGAGAAATTTGGCTCGTAACCTGAAAAGCTCGTAAATAGAGGCATTCATAAGCCGAGGTGTCACTGTACAAAGTACTGTACCTAAACAGCCATATGACATTGCAAATGATTCATTCAAAACAATTGGTTCACTTCAAACTAGCTCAAACCCACTATGTAAGGAAGCGGTCCTTTTATTTCAAATGTCTTTTCCCTTACCAACCAACACAGTTGAGTTATCAACACCAACACATTCTTACAAAAAGGACCATTTCCTTACAAGTACAGTACAGTAGTGCAAATGGACGCCAACAGGTGGTGCCTCAAGAGCTGCAAGTCCTGTTCATCATGAAAAAACACTTAGACCTTCTTGATTCATCTCATCGTAGCAAATCTCTCTTCTTGAATAGGTACTGGCAGTCCTTTGGACCTTGTTCTGTGGGAACCATTTGCTAGTTTATCATACCAGTTTTTTAGTACAGTATTGGCTTCATGTGTTTGTGTTATATGCAACGCCTTGCATGGACTTGGTCTATTCTTTGCTACAAGCTGTATATATTTAGGATGACCCTTACCTAAGCACTCGTCTTATGTTGCCTCTGCACTTACAGATTTGTTTCACTGGTGTGTGTTCAGGAGTTTGCCCACCTGAGAGGCCAGGCCACCAGGGTGGAGAGCATTGCCCTGGGTAGTGTCATTAATTCCAATGAAAATCCCTGAGGCTGGAGGTGTTCTGTTGACTGTATTATTGCTCATACATGCATAGGTATGCATGTATGAGCATGCATACCCTAAGGCACACTTAGGGTATGCATGCTTATTCATATGGCACTCCATAGATGCCCTTTTGTCTGAGTTTAGATGCCTTGTAGGTTTGGCCTCCAATCTGGTCTGCATGTCAGCTGGCCAGGGATTTGAGGCCAGATTCACGAAACAGTTACATAAGCAGTTATGAACCTGTACATCTTTTCTCAATCTTTGGCAACTTTGTTTACAATTATTAAACAGTTAATGAGCTCCGAAGCACCAGGAGACTGTTTATAACAATGACAACAGTTGATTGGGAAGTTTTCATGCTTAGAAACTGTTTAATAAATGTAACCAAAGCCAGCAAAGATTGAGGAAAGATGTACACATTCGTAAGTACTTGCCAGGTTTGTGTTCCTGGTGAACTGGCATAAATCCCAGTCGGTTTCATCCCAGGTTTAGACCTGGTTGAACCTGTTTTAAGATTCTTGGTCAACACATATTCCCTTAATTTCCATGGCTCTGTTCTGGCAGCAGCAGCAGCAGCATCGCTGTCTGGTGTTCGATCAGCCTCAGGTGACTCATTGATTGATGAAGCTTTGTTTACTTTGTTTATTATCTGATTTTGTTGTAACGTTTACATCCTGGAGAGTGCATATTCATCTATATGAAAATAGAATGAAATTGGTCATCAACAAGTAAATCGGTCACAACTCGCAGAACTTGGGACTGAATAATTTTTGGCTGACCTTTTCAGAGATTTCAAACTCTATTTTCTTTGTCCCTTTATGTCCCTCCAACATGTTCCAGTTTCCAAAACAACAACTTGTGTGGGACTCTGTCAAAAGCCTTTTTAAAGTCCAGATAGACACAGTCAACTCATCCACCTCTTTCCTGTAGTATCTCTGTGGCTCTATCATAAAAACTAGGAGGATTTGTTACTCAGGATCTTCCTGTTCGAAAACCATACTGTCAGTCCATTATTATGTCATGACTCTCTAGGTGTTCAACCCATTTGGCTCCAACTAATTTTTCTAGTGTTTTGACTACCACGCTTATTAATGATACGGGTCTATAAGTTAAAGGTTCTTCTCGGCTACCATTTTTATAGATTGGTATTATGCTTGCCTTTTTCTATATATCTGCTAAGACTTGTACACAAAGATGTCTGGAATATTAATTGGAGTAGAATGCTCAGCTCGGTTGCACATTCTCGCAGCACCCAAGGTGAAACGCTATCAGAATTAGCCGCTTTATTTTTTCCTAGCCCTATGAGTAATTTTTTCACTTCGTCTCGAGACACCTCTATGTATTCTATGGCTTGCTCTGGAATTGGTATTTGGTCTGGCTCTCTGAAATCTGCATTTCACACATTTCACTTTCAGTCTCTGTAGTCCTGTTCCCATTCTCAATCTGGATTTGACCCTTTACTTGCAGCTTGCTTTTAATGAATTTATAAAAAAGGCCTGGATCTGTTTTACACTTGTCTGCCATTCCTTTTTCAAAGTTCCTTTCTGCCTCTCTCTTCACTGCTATGTAATTGTTTCTTGCTTGTAGTGCTGGTATATTTGCGGATTAGGCCCCTTTCAATATTGAACCCATTTTCTTGTATTATCCTCTGTGGCCCTCTCACAATTTCTGTTGACTCAATCCTGTTTCCTGTCCCTGAATCTCTATTTTGGTATGAAAGTTTGTGTTCCATCATCGTATATTTTTCAAAATTTGGCATACATTTCATTTACTTCCTTGTCTAACAAGAAGTCTGTCCAATTAAACTCATTAAAGAATTTTCTTAAGTTTCCCTTAGTGTCCTCTCTTGAAAGTGAGTTTATCAACTGTTTCAATGTCTCCGTTCTCTTCTAGATTATATTACAAAGCATATTTAATTTCCAACACAACATGATCACTCTTTCTCAAGGAAGGGAGGTACTGGGTGTCAAGTATCTCCTCTTCTTTCCTGGTGTAACCTTTATTCCTTTGTGTAACACTTGCTCGGTTTCACTGGATGCCCTGTCTGTTGATCTGGTTTCCTTGATTCCCTGTTCCATTACATATTTTTCCCAGGTTGTCCGCAGTGTAAATAAATAAATAATAAATAAATAAATGTTTATTTAGGTAAGGTACATACATAAAGAGATTTTACAATGTTTGTTGGATTAATAGATAGAGCTAGTACTTACAATGCCTAAAGCCACAATTACGCAAAGCGTTTCGGGCAGTGTCATCATTGCTGGCCAGCCTGCGGTCTACCTTCAGGCCCCGATGTTTGTAAGTTAACAGCTTTGGCTGCTATTTTTGTCTACATTTCATAGGCTGATGTTTGGGCTTGGAGGTTTAAGAGGTCTCTTGGGCTCTGGTGACTCTTTTGGTTGGTAATGTCCTCATATGACTGATGTGACTCAGTAGTGGGAAGCAAGATAACTTCAGAGAGCCACCAAGGCTCTTCCAGTGAGGCATTTCATTACATTCAATGCTGCTATTTTTTTATTTTAGCACATTATATAATTCTAAAATATTTCGTTTAAAGTGAAATAAATCTGCCATATTATGAATATTTGCTGAAATACAGACAAAAGTAAAACATGACTTTGACTGAGTGACTTCAAAATATTTTAGTTTCTTACATTTGGAAAATTTGTCCTTTTAATATTTTCAAGTGGAATTCCACATGATTTACATCATCAGGGTTTACTGTTCTATAGTAATGACTTTTGGCACTCTTGAGGGAAGGTTCTCGGACAAGATAACAAACTAAATACAGTACTGTACTGAAATTTAAATTAGTCAATGGAAGGAACAGCAACACGTTTTGACTAACTGCTAACTGCTTTTTGACTAACTCTTTGGCTGGTAAAGCTATTTTGTTTGAATTCGGCTTATTAATGTACCTGAAGATGTCACCCAGTCATGCAGAGATGAAATCAAATCATAGTGAACATCAGTGAAAAAATAGCTGCATTAAATAAACAAAAATTCATTTTGGAAATAAAAAATGGCTGCCTTCCTAGAACTGAGCAGTATGGGGAAAGATTCATCAGAAATAGCACACTCAAGCCAGTTTGAAAGATATTGCTGTATCAAAAATATATTCAGTGTGAAAGTCAGAGAAGATATCCATTTTGAAAGTGTTTTATATTTGAAATTTTGGATGCAACTTAAGATTAAGCCTAGTTTGACTTTGGAAGCTGAAATGGTTTTTCTGTGTTTTAGTTCTATGGACCTAACATCTTATAAATTTTGGTTCTACATCAGCTTTTCAGTTTCATCAGTAATTAGTGTCAACTTATAATCATCTTGTTGGTCATAATAATTCTAGAAAACATTTTTCGTTAGCTCTGCAGTGGTTTTCCTGGTGTAACTATATATTACAATCGATGTCAATTGAAAGTACAGTATAGAAATAGCTGTTATACCACATTTGTCCTGGTCCTTTCTTGTTTATTCACTATAGTTTTTAAATAGTTAATTATGATACTACATTTCTTCCTATGATATTTCCCATCACTCTGTCATAGAAACTTATTCATTTTGATGCACATGACTTCCCTGACTTTATTAAATTCAAACTGTTATTAGTCATCGTGTTATTGCTTTCCAGGAGGTTTATCCATGCAAGCACGATGAACATTTTTAGTGTCTATGCTACCAAACTGGCCAGGGATATTAGTCTTTTAGAAGGTCTTTATCTTCATCTTTATATCAGGCTACTACATTGGCCATTTTGTAATGAATTGCCTGTTGTCCACATTAAGTTATGTCTTGAATATACTATAGTCCCACAGTGGGTGGCTGAGCTTGGTTGCACATTCCTTCTGAAGCCGAGGCTATGCTTCACCAGGTCCCACTGCATCCTTTTTGTTCAGGTCAGTGAGTGGCTTTTGTACATCTTTTCTAGGCAAATAAATGTGTTTTATAAAACATTGTTTCCTGTGTGTGTTGGCACTGGTGTCATTAAAAGCTGTTCTTCTGCGAATACACTTTGGAACTTTTCATTTATGGTTTAACACACATTATCTTCCTCCTTCAGCAGTATATGGTCACTTTTTAGCCTCTGGATTGTTTCACTAACTTGTAATTTGCCTTTCACAAACTTGATAAAGAGGTTAAGGTCTGACTTCCTATTATTTTCGATTTTGTTTTTTTCAAAGTTTTGCTCCTCTGCCTTTCTCATTGGTCATTTTCTGTAATGTTTCCAGGCTTTTGCTTTTTCTTCCATGCTTTCTAATTTGCCTTCTTAAACCAATCCTTTCTATTGTCTCATTACTGTATTGTGGTACACAGTCCTGAGTGCCCTTTGTATATGCAGTATCCCGCCAAACACACACCGAAACTACGACGTTGGTACAACGTTCGAACAAGTTTTAACACCTCTTAACCAGTTATAACAACCAATATAGCAAGTTGTAACAACGTTCTAATACGTCATAAACACGTTAAGCCAAGATGTAACAACTTTATTACAAGTTGTAACACGCGGAGAATGGAGACAGTTTCGGTTTGTGTTTCCAGGGATATCACAACATTTTGCATACATTACTTGGCATCAGTTTTTTACAGTTGACAGTCACACTCAACATTCCTGAAGTAATTTAGTTCCATCTACTTTCCCCTTCTTGTGATCCAGTTTCACATTCTCCTCTCATCCTTCCCCTGCTGCAATAATTTATTACCCTCAAAATGTGGTCACTCCTCTCAATATTAGTCTAAATCTGTATTTCAAATACAGTATTTTCTCTTCCATGTGAATATTACATCTAGTAATGAATAAAACAATCCACCTATCTCTCTCTTGCCTCAAATGAATCCCAGTTTATCTGTTTCTAATTAAAATCTCTCAGGATATGTAATTTGACTTCATGAATTACAGGTACAGTATATTGTTAGGATGGTCATAACAAAAATTATTGATATAAACAAAAATGAATTCAATTTGTTCAAAATATGATTTTGTTTATTTTGCAGTGATGGCCTACTTGCCTTGTCTCCCCAAGTAACCAAATGAGGTGTCCCCTTAATAGTGCTGATCAAATTTGTATTTATTACATATGGTACTGTACTATTAGCAGCAAACTTTAAAAAAAAATAATAGTTTTTACTTTTGTGTATGACAAACAGTGCTAGTACCACTGCCATATTTTCACCAAATTATGACCAGACATTAAATATGCCAATACTAGAAAATAGATGGAAAAGAGGCAGTATGATTTCAATATCATTACATACAAAATAGTAACGGGAATCGATAAAAAGAACAGTGAAGAATTCCTGAGACCTGGAATTTAAAGAACAAGAGTTCATGGATTTAAACTAACTAAACAAAGCTGCCAAAGAAGTATAACAAAATTCACTTTCGCAAACAGAGTGGTAGACAGTTGGAACAAGCTAAGTGAGAAGGTGGTGGAGGCCAAAACCATCTGTAGTTTCAAACCGTTATACAACAAAGTACTAGGAAGACGGGACACCATGAGCGCAGCTCTCATCCTGTAACTACATTTTGAAAATTACTCAAATGTCATCAGCAATTTTTTTTTATCAATAGTTAATCTTTCATGTCATCTAACCTGTAGCCTTACTGATGATGCAGGTAGACATCATTACTACTACACTATTTTTTCAGTTAAAGTAAAAAGGTGAATATCCTTTGAGTCCAGAGAATCACCTTACACTAACTCACATGGTAAAAAAATAAACTTTTGGGGGATGTTGTTGTTGTTTTAGATTCAGCTACTCGAAACGAAAAGTTCCAAGCACTGGTGACGGTGATTATGGTGAGCCTGGCACACGCACCTGGCACAGGAGATGGGGAAGGGTTGGAGAGTATGTGTGATGTATGACTGGGTCCAGTAGGTATGTCACCATTACTGTAATTAATTTAAAATTAGTATTAAATTATTTTTTCATTAATTTTTTATTCTCATCTAGGAGTATAATAAACAAAAATGGCGTATTTAGTTATATTTTGTATATATCGTACAAAATATACATGCTGGAGTGACCATAAATTTTATTAAAATATTTGGTGAAATCAGGTCAGCCAGTATTTTGTAATGGAAGTCAAAGCTTCCATTTCTGAGTTATTTAAAAATATTAAATTTTGATTTTGCCCATTCTACTGTAAATACTGTAACTGTATTCAAAATAATATTAAGATATAAAAAATAAAGAAATAATATGCTGTACTAGGGTTGCTTTTTTCTACTGATTATTCTATTTCAATTATTTACTGTATAGTTAAAAATGTTATTCTTTGTTCTAATATATGTTCTTTTTCCTTTAATAATTTCATATGTACAGTAATTACAACTGTATTGTTTACTTTGTAGTAGACTGTATTAGGAAACCAATATTCCAATGCAGTTTATTACAATTGCTTACTACAGTATTATATTGTGTTTTAAGCTTATTGAAACTTGACTTTTGACTTTTAATGCACAACCAGAACACACGTGGTGGCCATATGTGAGTGGGACGTATACAACAGTGTGTGCACATGTGTGCATGTCGTGTGTGCATGCATACTAACCTGGTATGTGATCTTCTAAGTCACTTGCATCTTTCACGAACTTGTATGTTCTTGGAATTAACAATGTATCTTATTTATGTTCTTGACTACAATCTTTTGGAAATTAGTGAAATCCAATGCATTATTTGAACAGGTTATAGTTAATTTATCTCATCTTTATTTGTAACAAAAAAGCTGAAACATTGAAGCTGTTTTTCTTGAAATTTTAAGATGCCTGTTATTTCTTCTCTTGTAGCATGTTAAATGACTTTTTTATACATACACATATATTATATATTTACCGGTAATTTTATTGACAAAAATATAATTACAAAAATAAAATGTTTAAATTTATTGATAGAACCCTCAGCAGAGCCTACCTAATTGTTCTTTTGAGCTAATGTGTATGTGAGAGAGTGTGTGTGTGTGTGTGTGTATGTGTGTGTTTGAGGAAAAATGTTCAGGCTGTAAATGAGTGCACTGTATTTGTATGGAACATTTAGGGTTGAATGCAAGAACTATCCTCAGATGTTTTGGAAGATCTCTCTGGAATATAGGAGTCTCCTTATACATTCTAGAATAAACATAATTTGTTAGCATCGGATATTTTAATTCTTTACTTGGGGTCGTTTTAGATCCCAATGGAATCCTTTAGTATGACAGTGTAATTCATCTATAGAATTACAAAAGGAGTTCCTTAATACAGTATAGTAATCTTTGAGATTAATTAAAGATGTATAGAGTTTAAAGGATTTTCTTGCTTTCTTTTCTTAATGTGTATGGAGAGTGGAGTGTTGTAGATGGTTATGTAAGAGTACGGTGAGGCCTGGGTGATGATCACCAGTTGCAAAGCTCTCAGTGCTTCATGTATCCTTCTCTTAACTATTATCATATTTCAGGAGAGGCTATGTGACTCTTTGAATTAATACACTTGGCATTAATATTTGAGTAATAATAGTTTTATTTTAGTATTTGTTTTTATGTGGTAAGTAACTGAAGAACATGGCTAGTTAAACTTAGCTGTTTGTGCTAATTGCAGATCTTTGGAGATCTTTCAAGTTTTTCACTTTAAATAATCATAATATCATGTTGTCTCTTACTTGGAGAGAGTTCGGAGTCATGTAAGAATGATTCCATAGAAGTTTGAAAGTTTCACATAAACCAAAGAGGCATAATGGCTGTAGTCCTCATTTGTTGTGTAGATGCCAACGCCGTGCCTCGCCACCTCCAGCCCCTTTCTCCACCCCCTTTTAATTGTACAGTATTTTGTTGCGAGCAAAGACTTTCTTTGCATACTCTTTTTTTAAGAAGTGTGGGAAAGATGTCTGAATATATTACAATAATCCACAAAGATTTACAAATAATTATTCTAGAAGATCATGTCTGTAAAATAGTAAATGGTACATGCCAAGCTTTAGATGTACCCAATATGTACGTGCAATGTTGATATGTAGCGACACCAGCTGTTATACCTTTGTCAGATTTTGTTTTGTAATGAACCATTTTACCTTGATTTAGAATGTGATCTTTTAGAGTAACTGTACACAGATGCAATTACTGGTGTCACAACATACATGGTAGTGTAAGATAACGATTGTAGTGTAGAATAGATTCTGTAATAATCATTTCGTTCAGACATCTTTTGACATATTTGCAAATTTTATTGTTATGTCATTTTCAATAAAGATTTTCTTGTATTTTAATATTGTCTTCCTGTTATCCCTCAAATGAAGTTTATTTAAGCATTGATAAATGGCTATATGGCTCAGATATATATTGTATTGTATAGTAACTTAAATTCAAAAAGAATTATTTTGATCATGACATTTTGAATAACATATTTCTGCCTTAGGATATACAGTACCAATGAACACATTAAAATAATTCACTGATTTGTACTGTATCTGGAAAATGCACTTGCATGTTATTTTAATCTTTCCGCCCTAAAATCTGGTGATGTTCATGTTATTATTATACCATGGAAGTTCATCATGGCAGATTTCAGAACCATTTTAAGTTTGTAAAGGGTAAAGGTAAGTGGGAGGGAGGCATTAGGAAGGCATTAAAGGATGTAGATATAACAAATATGGAAGCATATCTGTAATAAAACCTATACCCTCCAAGGAGTTACACCTTATTGTAGGGCATTAGACACATAATTTATCGTACCTTAGTGTTTTAAAAAAAAAACTACTTTTAGCCAATATAGAAATGATTTTGCCAAGAATTAAAAATCACTATTGTATTGTAATTCTAAAGCTTGTTAGTGTAAGAAATTATGGAAATGTGCATAAACATTTGATATTCATGTAATTTGGGGATTACAAATAACAGTCTGCCAATGACAGAAAATAGTGTTTATTTCACAGATGACAGTATTTTTCAATAAAGGGTGCATGTGTAGGTACAGAATACTAAAATAATGACTATACAGTAATTCTATGTACAGGATTTACAAGACCTCAACCACAGATGAAAAGAAGGCAAAATTCTTAATCAGTGCTTGAAAATTAATTATAACTACTAATCAATTCCCAGATGAATATAAAATGATAACAAAGAATTTGCCTCTTAACCACCAAGTTGTCAGTTCAGAATATCACAATCAAGTAAAACTAATCAGTTTTCACAACCAAGTGATTAAGTCTTAATACTCAAGTAATGATTAACAATTCGGTCCAAGAGCTACAGCAAAGTGCAGCTGCTAATTCCCTTCAATGGAATTGGAATTCCAATTTGCATTAAATGGTTGTGTATATGTGTGTGTAAGTGTAATTACTTAAGTGTAGTTACAGTTTGAGAGTAACGCTCATGGTGCCCCATCTTTCCTAAAATCTTTGACATATGATGCTGTTAAGACTATTAATGGTTTTTACATCCACCACTTTCAAATTTAAATTTGTTTCCTCAGCTTGAAACTATGGCCTCTTGTTCTTTAAGTTGCAGATTGTGTGTGTAATTACCTAAGTGTAATTACCTAAGTGTAGTTACAGGATGAGAGCTACGCTCGTGGTGTCCCGTCTTCCCAGCACTGTAATTACCTAAGTGTAATTACCTAAGTGTAGTTACAGGATGAGAGCTACGCTCGTGGTGTCCCGTCTTCCCAGCACTCTTTGTCATATAACGCTTTGAAACTACTGACGGTCTTGGCCTCCACCACCTTCGAACACTGTGTGTGTGTGTGTGTGTGTGTGCCACATGCACAAGAAAACAAAAATTTGAAAATGTTTAACAGAAACTTATCTATTATCTCTTATTTCATGCAGCCAATTGCCATGTGCTTGTGACATTTATGAATATAACAAACACACATACACACACACACATACATAACATGCATTATCATTATATATATATATATATATATATATATATATATATATATATATATATATATATATATATATATATATATATATATATATATATATATATATAATAATAATAATGTACCTAGTAGCCAGAATGCAATACTTGGCCTACTATGCAAGGCCTGATTTGCCTAATAAGCCAAGTTTTCCTGAATTTATATATTTTTCTAATTTTTCTCGTATGAAATGATGAAGCTATCCATTTCATTATGTTTGAGTTAATTTATTTTAATTTGAGTTAAAACTAACTAAGATATATGACCGAACCTAACCAACCCTACCTAACCTAACCTAACCTATCTTAACCTAACCTAAACTAACTCAACTAAGTCAATAATTTATGTTCTTAATATAATAATAATAATTCAAACAAACTAACTGGAAACTATTTATTGAAAATAAAGAAAATCACTCGGCCTATTAGGCAAATCGGGCCTTACATAGTAGGCCGAGAAGTACGTTCTGGCTACTAGATATGATATATATATATATATATATATATATATATATATATATATATATATATATATATATATATATATATATATAATATATATATATATATATATATATAATAATAATAATAATATACAGTACCTATATATATACAGTACAGTACTGTATATGGTAATATGCAGTCAGGTTCATTCTCGACTCACAATTGGGAATTCCAGGTTCAAATTCTGAGCGGGACAGAAATTGTTGGGCTTGTTTCCTGTCGCCTAATGAACCTGTTCACCTAGCAGTAAATATTAGTATATTTTGGTAGCAGTTTTTCTTGTAGACATACTGTATATTATTGAATATGACAGTCAGACCACGGAGGAAGAATTGAAACAAGAATTTCCTAAAATACTTTCGTATATGAAAATATATTAATATACGAAAGTACTTAAGGAAATTCTTGTTTCAATTCTTCCTCCGTGGTCTGACACTGTCACGTTTTTCATCACATGTTCATTTTTGTGATTTACACACATTATTGAATATGACAAAGGGTGAGAGAAATGATTCTAGCATGACTCTTCACTATTCACAATCTTCTTATGTTTTTCTTCACTTGAGAAGGATGTTGAAAAATTAAGTCTCAAAGATCATTTTAAAATTTTATTAAGGCCTGACACTAAGAGATGAGTTTTGTTAACCCTTGTTGACATTATCAAAGGCACAGTTCAAATGGTTTGTTGTTGTTTTAGCTATTCAGCTACTCGGAACAAAAGTTCCAAGTAGCACGGGCTGTGGTGAGCCCTTAGTGGATTTACCTGGCCCAGGAGCGGGGGCTGTCTAAACCACTTGAAAAAAAAAAATTTGAAGGGAAACTCTGGTTTCCCTTCAAATGGTTTTTATGCTGCTGGATTTATAGCTGTAGGTAAGGTAAAGATGAAGCACCTCACTTGTGGGCCAATAGGCCCATTGCAGCTTATCAATCTCATATGTTTCCTTGATGGCTGGAGCAGTATATTGTATGTTTTTTCTTGTTCTTGAAGATGGCAGAGTGTAATTTGGTAATTAGTTGGCTGTTGATAACTGGCTTCGTTTACTTGATGTATAATGCCTTGGTAATATCCAGTCTTCTATTGTCCCTGTATTTGTTGATTATTTTGGTATTGTTGTCAGGATATACCTGGTGATGATCTGCTTATGTGTAGAGACTATGTGTTCTTAAATAAGGCCTTGCTGATTGTGCATTGTTAGGCAGCTTGAAAGGGATGTTACTGTCTTGCCTATATATTGAGTTCGTTGGGGCAACAGTCCCAAGCCACAAGGTGAGCATGTCATGCAAATAAGTACAAGACATTTATCTCTTTCAAGGGAGTTTGATGGCAGGAGAGTTTTTCATAAGCAAGACGGCAGTCTTCTTGCTCTTATAGTTTATTATTTATTCAATTTTCTGGTTTGTGTTGGTAGGGGTCACATTTCTATGAATAAAGTTCTTCAGGACTCTATCTTCCATTTTGTAGATGTGGAGAAGTTCCTGTATAATATTTTAATAGTAGGGACCAGTAATGTACTATTGTTTGTTTCGTCTGTGGTTGCATGGCGGCTCACCTTCCTTTTAATGATCGCTTCAACATATCAATTAGAGTATCCATTATTGACTAAGACCTTCCTCTACCAAATTTCTTGCCAGCCTTCTTCCAAATGGAGCTGTGTGAGAGCACTGTTGACATAGGCATTGACAACTCTTCACTTTTACCTATCAGGGCACTCCTTTTTAGCATCAAGGCATGCTCCTATGTTGGTTTTCTTAATTACCAAAGTGTAATTACAGGATGAGAGCTATGCTCATGGTGTAGAATACAGTGTGAAATCCACCATTCTTTTCCGAGACTGTTACATCTAGTCTATCTCAAAGGTAGTCTACCTCCACTCTTAGTTTTGTAAATTAACCTTATTACTGAACTTTGCTTGAATGCATCCTTAAGCTGCAGCAAGTGCTCAATATCAGGTATTTGCAGGATGTTATCTATGTATCTACAGTATGGGTTTCCCTCTTGAATAGAAACTCATTTGCTCATTTTGCTCATTTTTTACATGGGTTAAATAGAAAGTCCTTCTTGACATGGGCCTAAAGCCAAGTGTACAATGTAGATAATGTACATAGACGATATATTCCTGCAAGTGTCTGATATTGAGCACTTCCTGTGGCTTAAGGATGTCAACTGTGCCCTCACGTACAGCTCCAGTTGGAAGCAGGTTGACGAGGAACTTGGTATAGTAAGGCACGTCTTAGTCAATAATGGATATCAAAGAGATCATTAAAAGGAAAGTGAACCACCATACAATCTTAGACAAGACAGATAACAGTACATTACTGGTCCTTACTATTAAAATATTATACAGACACTATCCATAGCTCACAAAACGGAGAAGCGAGTTCTGAAGAACATTCATAGAAATGTGACCCCAGCCAACACCAACTACAAGATTGAATTAATAATATAATATAAAAGCAAGAAGACTGTCAACTTGCACATAAAAAACTCTCCTAACACCAAACAAAACTATCTACAACCATCAACTAAGCTGCAATGGGCTTATTGGCCCATAAGTGAGGTGCTTCACCTTAACCTCATCCACAGCAATAAATCAGGCAGCACAAAAACTTATAATCATTCGAACTTTGCTTTTGATAATGTTGACAAGGGTCAATGAATTGCATCTCGTAGCTCAGTGAAATTGAGAAGTGAACTTTGAGTTTTTTTCAACTTGCATCTAAAGTAAAGAAACACATTAAAAAATAGAGAAGATTTGTGTTAGAATCATTGAACTCACCTTTTTTTGTCATATTCAATATATATAAATGTAATATATATATATATATATATATA